TTCTATTTATAAGACTTTTTGATTATAGATCTGTACTAGATACACTGACTAGATTTCCTTACAGTATTTATCATTATGACACATTTGAACCTAAGGATTATAAAACATACTTTTGGCATAGTACAATTTGTCAACTGGCTTGAAATGAGTAAGTTTGGTGATCGGGTAATTAAAAGAACATTATGTTTCACACTGCCCATGGATACACAGTACTTGTAAGAAGGTTTAAAAAAATCATGTTTTAATAGGATACAACCAATATCTTGGTAATTTAACAGTAGCGTTTGAAAAAAAAAAAATGTTCGAACTATATTGAAACTGAAGGTAATTTGAAGTAATCATGCAGATCACTTATCGACCTGCACGTGCGATGATTTTAGGTTTAAGGATCATATATAAAATCACCTTGCTTAGCGTGATAACTGTAGAAAAGAGTTTGCTTTTCGAAAGAAAGGCACTTTCGACACTGGATCTTCCGTGACAGAGCTTGAAGCATCGGCTCCTTCAGCTACGCTGGCTTGCTCACTCGCCGCTTTAGATGTTTTACTCCGGTAGTTCCCGATCCAATACTAAAAAACCACCAATGTAAAAATATGAAGAATACACACCTATATATAAGATGAATATCATTAACTATAGACTTGTGGCTATAAAAGAATTCTATAATAAAAATATAAAAGGAAAACTTACCGTGATTTGCTTATCTGAAAGGCCAGTTTCTGCGCTCAAACGGGCGATTTTTGCTTTATTTGTTGGTCCAGCAGAAGACTTCAATTCGTTTTGATATTCCCTTTCTAAAATTTCTTTAATACTCTCCGAAATAATTGTTCTTTTTCGTTTCTCTGCCATAATTGATGCAGCCTCTAAAGTATACGTAAATCGCTGAGAATCTGTTCTGTTTGAATGAGTTTCAGCAATAACTGATGCAGTCTCTAAAGTATACGTAAATCGCTGATAATCTGTTCTGTTTGGATGAGTTTCAGCAACCTTGCCGACACGGCTGAAACCGTAACAACGTAACTTCCGGCAAGTAGAGGAAGTTGTCTGTCACGGTTATTAACCATGTTTTGTTAGTTAACTAAGACGGTTACTAGCCGTTAACAAGAAGAGGATCGGGTGCTTGTTCCTGCATATGGGCTTCGTCATCGAAGTCATTGGATGACTATGATTCTTGAACTATTACTAGGGCATACGTCAAACTTTCCATGCACCGAACTCTTTAAAAACAATGGATATCAGGCGGCATAATGAGGCGGCATTCTTTGATGTAATTAAATTCGGTGCAAGGAAAGTTCGACGTTTGCCCTAGGCCTTAGTAAAAAATGCAGCTTATTGATTTTACTAGTGAGTTCTTCGTATTTCTAGTTCGCAAATGATATAAACTTACGTAGATCTTCCACAGTTGAAGCCAGATCATCAATCTTGGTTTGAACTGGTTTGAGCTTGCGGTCAAGAATTTCTTCAAAGTCCTCTTTAGTTAGACGAATATCAGCCATAACAGTGATGCAGAACAATACATAGAGTAGTGAAAAAGAAAAGAAATATATACAGCAGGCAAAAACGCTAATTTTAGGTCAGAAAATCGGTCAGAAATTCGGGAGCAGAAAAAATTGCCGCCATCACTGACCACGTCCGCTGAACATGGAGACGATATTTAAGGGTATTCTTGAACATTTTTAAGAGTATCCTTTTTTTCAAATGAACATATTTATAAAGGCCATCCCTAACCATATTTAAGAGTTTGCCATTTTAAATGACCATATTTAAGAGAATCCTTTTCAAATGACCGTATTTTAGAGTATCCTCTTTCAAATGACCATATTAAAGGGTATCCTTGATCATATTTAAGAAAGTTCTTTTGTCAAATGACAATATTTAAGGGTATTCGTTTTTTCAAGTGACCATATTTAAGGGCATCTTTGAACATATTTGAGAGTATCCTTTACCATATTCAAGGGTATCCTTTTTTTAAATAACCATACTTGTAACCATCCTTTTTTCAAATGACCATATTTAAGGGTGTCTTTGACCATAGTCAAGGGTATCCTTCACCATATTTAGGGTATCCTCTTTTTGAATTGGCGATATTTAAGGGTATCCTTGAGCATTTTAAAGAGTATCCTTTTTTTCAAATGAACATATTTAAGGCCATCCTTGACCATATTTAAGAGTATCCTTTTTCAAATGACCATATTTGTGGGATCTGTTTATTCCGGATGTAACGAATACTCGCCACCATGATGACTTCAGAAAATCTGTCCGACTCGTTGCTAGAAATCTTTACGATTCCTTCTTGTTACTCGATTAATTCTCTGCAGTTGACCTACGCGATTCTCCTAGGCGGTTCTATGAAACATTACAACACTTTACTGTTATCTATATAGCCTTAAAGGGGAAAAAAGAACAAATTCTTTCCTTACTTCGTGGTAATCCTTCCAGATCCCAAATAATAAAAATGCGAACGAACTTAGAATCTAATTATTTTAAAGTACATGTATGGTCACATTTAAAAAATGTCATTCATCGCATATTCACTTTGACATAAGCCATCTTGTAAACGATACATGGTCTCTTCTTGAAGTTTCACTGTAGCTTGCAATTCGGCGAATTTTTTGTTTCTTGAACGATCTTTATGTGTTGATCGTATTTATTACTCAGAAAAGTATGCGAAGCTTCAATAGCTATGAATCTATTGTTACGGATTTTCATGGCTGTTGACAACTCGGTAGTTTCAGCCTTTATTTCTTTTTATGCTCGGCAGTAACTCGTTGTTCTATCAGTAGTTCCTTCCACTTTTCAATTAGTCTAATAGTTCGGTGTGCGTAAAGATATCGAGAGAATGAGAGAAAAATATCAAATGCTCTTGGCGGGAATCGAATCCACGTCTTCGGTATTCCAATCCGATGTGTTAACCACTACACTACAAGGACCAACCACGCTGGTAATGCAGCCGGAATATGAAATGTAGGGTACTCGTGAAGATTCCAGAGCGAGATTTTTTCTCTACAGGTAAGTTAAACACAATAAATATCTACGAAAAGAATAGACATAGTTTAGTAGTAATAAGAGAAAAATATCAAATGCCTTTGGCGGGAGACGTTGGTCTGAAGTGTCTGATATTTTCGCCATAATGAAAATTTGTGGGTATTTTGAAACTAATTTAGCTAAGGTTAACATAGAACTAATTCCCGCATCTGCGATGACAATTGCCCATGTCATTTCTGTGGTTGTGGAAGGGGGCAAAACAACACAAAGAAAATCGCTACCGCGGCCCGTCGAGTTTCTTGAATTTGGATGAGCGTGCAACATTGAGAAACCTTATTCCAACGGAAAGTTCAAAACATCAGACTTTATGTATTAATAATAATCGCCACCAAATACTGTATATAATGTAGCATAATCATCAGTTAGTAAAATCTCAGAATGGATCTTCTGTGTTCAGGTGCACGTCTTCAACGATCTTTTAGTTTGGCCTTAGTATGCAAAATTAAATTTCAGGCATTTCATTTTGTATACAGCTTCAGTCTGATTTAGCTTGTCCATGCGGTCTTTTGGACAAGGAAAGAGGTTGCAAAAATTATTCAAAGGGCGATGAACAATATTGATCTCGTGTTGCCTTTTTGACACTTCTTTTTTTGTTCTTCCGTATTATCACTTATTGTTGAAACATTTTTTGATAGCATTCCCAATTAATTTACTTTCATCCCTCTCCTTTATGCGTTTTTCATATTCAGACTCCTGAGGCCAAAAGAAGAAGGAAAAAGCAAGGTTAATTATTGTTAGTATTTTATCCCCACTGCATTTTCACTGCCGAGTCACGGGAATTAAGATGGTGGAAGGTGACCGAGACTGCTGGCAATGAGCATGCGAAAAGCATGCGATGCGTCGTCAACCGCCACCAAGGGAATTTGGGTGGGGTGAATTTTCTACTCTTTCCTTAGCAGGGCCGTAGCCACCGGTGCGGTTGGTCCGGTTTCAATCGGACCAACTTTCGGGGAAAAAATATAAGAAAAAAAAAACATTTTCAAAATGGAAGAAAACCCGAAAACCCTCGAAAACCGACCAATCAGAAATTTGTTGCTACGGCCCTGCTCCTTAGGCAGCTTCCGACGGAATGATTCAAGGATCTGGGTGTGGCGCTTATATATGGAGGGGGTCGCAAAGCATTATACCCGCAATGCGCAAACTCCAATGTCCATAAATGGGGGATTGTTAAATTCCCACGTGACACGCCAATTATGGATGCAGTGAGAATAGCACTAAACACATGTATTTCTTTTGTTTTCAATTGTTTCATTGGTAAATAGATGTGATTTAGTTGTCCAAGTTATCATAGGTGATATGAAAGTTTTTGTTTGCTTGCTAAAGTTGAAGCATTTTATCTTTATCAGGAAGAGAAGGACGAGGCCAAAAAAAAGAGAGTTACGTTACGAATGATGACTGCGGGAAATAATGCGGTAGGAATGACGGTAAGTATTACTAATTTGCATAATGTATTGAGAGAAAAGAGAGATTGGTGAAAATGACTGTTTTAGTATACACTCAATGGAAGAATCGTTGTCGGGTTCAGAAACATAGAACATAAAAGCTGAGACCGAAATGGCACATGGGAAATGACAATTATATCATATTTTTATTCATTTGGGCCATTCATGCAGTCGGTTTAGGCCCCGTCCACCCGTATCCGTAAACTTGTGTGTCCGTAAATTTTTTTTGCGGATACGGGTTGCGTCCACACGTGTACGGAAATTTTTGTATCCGTATCCGGAAATTTTCGAAAACGGTCTCCAGAGTGGAAATTTTCGAATACGCTCCGAATACGGATACGTGTGGACGGTCGTATCCGCAAATTTTCGAATACGTTGACGTAAGCACGATTTTGCTCATGCTCAATAAGAAAAACTATCCGTCAAAGGGACTAGGCACTAGCGTGCATCAGGGAGGATCAAGAAATTTCCGGATACGTGTGGACAGTGAAAACGAATCGAAAACGATTCGAATACGCTGCGTGTGGACGCGAACATTTTCGTATCCGCAAAAAAAGAATTTGCGGATACAAAAATTTCTGGATAGGTGTGGACGGGCCTTAGAATGACAAAAGCGTATTAAAAACAGTGGATGATGCCAAGGGTCGCCGGTCACAGCATGCATCTAATTAACGTACTTCCCGTGTGCCATTTCGTTCTCAGCTTCTATGTTCTATGTTTCAACGATTCTTCAGTTGAGTGTTTATCAATAAAGTTAGTCACCAAAAACCTAGAAAGCTGAGATCACTGAGGATCATAGGAAACTTTTCATATCGAACGGGTGAAGCGTTTTTGATACAAACTTCAGCTTGAGGATGCTCAGAAAAGGTGCGACTGCAACTAGGTGGTTAAAGATATGCAAGACCAACAACAGTTATCAAGTATTTGATGTAAAAAAAATTTACCCATAATCCTTGTCGGTCTCATTTTTGTAACTTTTCTGGTGACTAACTCCATTGAAATAAGTATACGCTAACGAGGTTTATATCAAGAATGTCAGTGAAATAATTACAGCAGTGTTGATAAAAAAGTCGTATATGACAACGTTCCTACAATAAAGTAAATAGCTAGCTGATTATTTAACAATTATTCGCCGAAGGCGAAGTGAATTCACTGAGGCTGAGGCAAATAATTGTTTTAGTAAATACACAGGTGATTCTTTCAACAACAAAAAAAAAAGAAGACAAAAGACATTTTTGCCGGTAACAGCAACTAGAGGCTGGCCGCCATTTTGGGTTATCGCTGGAGGTGATTATCGTGTGATAGTGTGAGTTTTTCGACCAATCAGCGCGCGAGATTTTCAATAATCGCCTGTGTATTTTTACTAAAAGCAAATAACTCTTTTCTTTTCTAATTTAAGGCCATTTCTCGTCCTGTTATCGCAGAAGACGATACAAGAGTGATTACATTTTGTTGTATGTATAATATGTGCATTCATTTGCCTTGTCAGTGAATTAATCATCACGGGATTACTGAGCTGCAAAGGACCTACAAAGGTTTTGCACCACCACGTGACGGCAGCCATTTTAGATGGCAGGAACAATACAGTCGTTTTACATGAGAAAGAATAAGCCTGAAGCGAGATGACGTTTTACCCCGACTCTATACCATAATAGTTTTTAAAATTCTTTCATATTAAAATTTTTGCTTCCTTAGAGAATACAAGAACAATAGTCATAATTAAAGAAAAAAAAATTGTTCTGCCATCTAACCACAGGAAGCCAAAGATGGTGCAAAACCTCTATTGGGATTTCTCGCCTCTTATGGGTTTCCTGTGTTGTTGGCTTGAGGTATCCTGTATCCTTTTAAAAATCCTGAATTCACCCCTTGCTACACATAGCTTTTTTAAATTAAGAGCACCCAAAAGTATTGTTCCAAGACAATAGACCATTGTACCAAAACAATACTGACGGTTCTCTTATCTTAAGAGACCTTCATTCACCCAAGCCCTGTTTAGGTGCTGGAATTCCAATTTTTTTTTCTTACCGTCACATCCAACTATTACCACAATCCCCTGCCCACTTTCCATAAATCATCATTTCATTCGCCACTTTTCAAGCATCGGTTCCATGGTCACACACAAAGCCTGCAATCGAGGCTGCAATTCGAGTAACTATGTGAAAATACCTTGCAGCCTCGATCGAATGCTTTCCAAGTGTCTGTTAGCAGTGAACCAATGTATGCAAAGTCCAGTATCATTAAAGTATCATAAGTATTTTTAAAGTGTCACTACGATGAAATTTAAATGTCTTCAATCTTCACTATTTAAGCAAATTGTAAAATACTCACAAAAGAAGAAAACTGGCGCTTTCCATTTCTTGTTAGTATTTTTAGTTACAGAGATATTCAAGATTTAAATTTATTCTAATTAGGAGGTTGATGACGTCATTTTCTTAACTCACAGTTTCCTTCAACATATATTTTAACATGTATCTATGAGAGTATTTCATAATTGTCAATCATTGCAGTATGCTTATATTCAATATATGAAACATTAAAATGCACAAACTATGGTTGCTATAGCAACACCACACTGGTGTTTAGGCCCCTAACAACGATGTTAGCCTTTTATATAGCTTATTATAATCTTAGGATTTTCAAGTATTAAGAATATGACGTCATCAGGTAAAATAGCTGCCATTCTTTAATCTCCAATATCTCTTGAAGGAAAAAACATATTTGCATTTGACGTCAAAACAACACAAAATAATTTTCATCTCCCGAAAATTGTAATGTCCTGCATTCCGACGAACTGTAAGGGGTCTATTTGCTTGATCGACCCTTTAAACAGTGGCTTGATGTAGAGGATAGACTTGATGTATTCCACATACATTTATTGTACCATGTCCAACCTCGACTTCGACCATTGTCACTTATTTCAATAAAGTTAGTCACCAAAAACCTAGAAAGCTGAGATCACTGAGCATCATGGGAAACTTTTCATATCAAAAAAGCATATGTATATACAAAGCTTTTTCAATACAAACTGCAGCTCGATGATGCTCAGAAGAAGTGAGACTATAACCGGTGAAAGATTCGCAAGTCCATGAACAGTTATCAAGCGGTTGAACGTGTAAAACGAATCTACCCATAATCCTTTCGGCCTCAGCTTTATAGCTTTTCAGGTGACTAACTTTATTAAAATAAGTGTATGAGAAGAATGTTAGAGTGAAAGGCATTTAACCGGTTAGAAAAAAAAATTATCGGTCAATGTGTAATAGTCAAATAGAGTGATTTTATTTAAACCCTGAAAGAAAAATGACTGTTTAGCTAGTGCTATAGTTGATTTAAAACAAAAACAAAAACAAAAAAAACAAACAAAAAACAAAACAAAACAAAACAAA